ACAGGGGTTATTAACCTACTTAGTCCCCCTGACCCTCCAAGTAGTGAACCCCTGAATCTCATTTCTTGTCTTATCGCCCGCTCAAAGATGCTTGAGGTCTCTCTCGGTTTGTCGTTTTGCCCACAGTGCTTTGCTGGCGCGTATATCCCAAACTTGCCCCTACACTCCCGAGAACTTGATGATGGCCTGTAAGGGCTCTGATTCATAAGCCTAGCACTCCTCAACGCAAGCAGCCGCTTGTCTAAAAAAGCGGCCTTTTGGAGGTGCTTTTGTCAGCACTTCTCCAGAAAGAGTGAGGAGCCTTTGACCCCTAAACCCTCAACCCTAAACTACCCTAAGCCCTACGCCCTAAACCCTCAACCCTAAACTTAGACCCAAACCCCCAAATGACAAGTTATTTCAACCCAGCACGATCGGCCCCAAACCTCACCAGGATTGAGCCCAGCCCCTCAACTCATTATTTCTAGGAGCCCAATATCCCAAAATCCAGGCATATACTCTACACCCAAGAACTCTACTATGATTTCATACAAATTCCTAGAACCTAAACCCTGCTCGGCCCTAAACCCTACACCTTATTCGGCTTGCTTGGTAGGGGTTAGGGAGCACAAGGCTTACTGCAGCAGCTCAGCTTCTACAAGTCGGAGCGATCCTCTTTGACACAGGAGGCGATCTAGCTGCTACGGGCTTAGGTTTTAGGGTTCAGGATTTAGAGTTTGAGCACGTCTCAAGATCCCAGGTCTTTTCTAGTATTTGGGGGCATGGACTGGTGTTTAACCAGTGGGAGGTTAATTTGGGTTGACTAGAAGCCCCTAAACCCTAAATCAAAAGTTCCCTTGTCAATAGAATCTCCTTGAAACTTAGCCCTTAACCCTTTGGAATTCCCTGATACCCCTATTATAGGTACCTAAGGGGTTAACCCTCAGCAGGGGTCCTAAGTGCCACGTAGAAATGGAGGCCCGGAAGTCCGTAGACTCTGTCTTGGAATGCCTTCTGTAGAGTTTTGGGCTTACAGTCCCCCTTAAGTATATAGTATCGGGTATATCGGGATCGTATCATAATATACCCAAAGCCAATGTATTTATTTTAGGGAGACTATACATACTTTCCCTGGGCTAGGCGGGTTTACTGTTTCAGGGTTTTAGGGTTTAGGGTGTATTCTTCTCCTGCTCTCCCAAGTCCCATAGGGGCTCTTGTAAAAGACGAGTCTTAGCAAACTCTTATTCTTAATAAGCAGCAAACACTTCAAGATTTTCCTAATTCCACTTCTTACAGTAAGCAGCTGAAATTATTTTTGGGGAAGATTACACAGGGGAGATTCAGCATGAAATATGCGCTAAGCCTTTCAAGCCTTTCCTCGGATGATACACCAGGCCCTAGGCCTTGAATCCTAAATCTTTACCGGGGGGTTAGGTTAGGGTTAAGGGTATAGGGGCTTATAGTCCCACTTACATAGATAAAATGTGGCTTCGGGTATATTATAATAAGATCCCCATATACCCCATATTCTATCTATTTAAGGGGGACCATAGGGGTTTAGGGGTTTGGGGTCGTCCTTGGCTCGAAAGCGATGCTCCTTACTCTGGGCCTCATGGGCCCAGCCTTGTGCTTCTCAAGTTGCAAGCCATATGAGCTATAGTCTAAACTTTTAAAGGGGGTTCTATATTATAGGGGTCCTATAGGGAATAGGGTTTAGGATTTAGGGTTTAGGGTCTAAACTCCTCAGAGGGGGTTACATAGGGGATTATTTCGGGACTACAGGGGTTATTAAGGCGGATACTAGGAGTTTAGACTATAGCTCATATACACGGGGTCCACGGCCCAGGGTATATAAGTATAACTTACGCTTCACTGTACTTGGTATTGGGTCATGGTTACAGGGGTACCGTTGTAAGTAGGCTATCACCCATGGACCTCCAACTAGGGCTTGGTGTCCTTTGGAAGGGATGACTTTCAGCAAGGTCCACGTGGTTCTAAAGAGCAAACAGATCACATGTACATAAACATATATATATATATATATGGGTGGTTGTCAAAATTATGGTCCCTTTTTGGGTACCCTAAATATTAGGTGCCGTATTCTAACAGGGATCCAAAAAAGGGACCATAATTTTGACAA